GGGGGGGGGGGTTAAAGGTATTATGAACAAACTCAACTTCCTGACTGCCACCTCTCAAAATAAAACAAGCTATAAAGATCTAGTAGAATTTATGAGTCACCTGAATAACAGTTTCCCCATTGTCCTCTTCCCTGTTTTAATTTCCATTGACAATGCCACATGTGTTTATACGAGTGTTTCTGTTCCAGAATTACAGACCTATACAGATCTACCAAAAAGCATTTCTACTTGGGCAAGACACAACCTTTACAAGACAGGACTTTTTTGAAGCCAATTTCATGTCACTCAGATTTGGCTAAGGAAGAGGGAGTTTAAAAGAGTAGGAAGGATTTCATTCACTCCAGCACCTCCCCAAAACATATGGCTTCCACCCACCCGGGACAGAAGTTTTGCAATTGCTCCTGAATCTGGACTGGACTGCTGGCCAGGGCAGTCAGCTCCAGCCTCAACACCAAGTCAGCAAACAGGATTTTACAAAGAAAAGGAAAAAAAAAAAAAAAAAAAAAAAAAAAAAAAAAACAAATTAAATTAAGAATGTGCAGAATACAAAGTCAGCTCTGAACATACATCTTTAATTATTGCCTTTCTTAATAGCAAACATGTGGATGGCTGTTCTGCAACAGAAGGGTTACCTAGTGGTCAGTAAAAATAATGCTAATGGGGGACCAGGGAGCTGGAATTCAACTTTCTGAAATAAGGTACTTTTTTTCCTTGATATGAACTACTTCTTTCTAAGTGGCACAGCTAGAACATCTAGAAATTGACATTAAGTTTACTTTAAATCATGTAATAAGACTGCAGTTTTAATTTATATTTCCCTACCCACATATAAAATTTCCAGGGTTCCAATGCATGGCCCATTAACCATCTGGAGGTAGAGTTAGAATACTGTTTTGTGTTCTAGCTAAACATCAGAGAAGCTGTATAGAGCTGTGGTGAATACATTTCATGGGGCGCCTGGGTGGCTCAGTCTAACTCTTGAGTTCGGCTCAGGTCATGATCTCATGGTTTGTGAGATGGGCCCCACTTCGGGCTCTGCGCTGACAGGGTGAAAAGCCTACTTGGGATTCTCTCTTTGCCCCTCTCTGACTCACATGCACTCTCACTCCCTTGAGCTCTCTCTCTCAAAATAAATAAATAAGCTTAAAAAATATATATATATGGTTTCATAAGCCAGAATGCCTCGTTCAAATCCTGGGTCTACTGCTCCTTAGCTGTGTGATCTCAGGCAAGTTACTTAACTTGTCTGTGCTATAGTATCCTCATCTGTAAAATTATTAACCCTCTCTGTCCTCAGCTGGAAAAAGAAAATAATAAATAATATGTGCACCTCACTGAGGTCTTGTAAGAAGTAAATAAGTTAAGGCATATGAAGTGTTTAGTGCAATGCTTAGCACTCATTAAAGGACTACATTAATCGAGAAGCACTAAAGTATCCATCTTTTGTTGGGCATCTAAGATAAAAATCACATATCTGAAGGTTTTTTTAATCAACTATTTAACAAACTAATGTCTTTTCTATAACATATTTAATAATGTCAAATATGCTATTTCTATAGTCTTTGTAACAGAGGAAAAAGAAGAGAAAGAGAAAAAAAAGAAAGGAAAAAAAAGTAAATCATATTCTTTGAAGAATACTATTCAAATAGATTCCTAACACACATGTAAAAGAAAAATACGTTTTTATTATTACGGAGGAAGTTTAAGGTAAAGAAAAACAAGTATATGGCCATCCTTTCATTCACTAGAATATGCTATTGTCATATCTATTAAAATGCAATAAACCTTGACTTAACACAAAACAAACCTAGAAAAATAAACCATCATATATGCCTCATTCTATTTCCTGACAGATCTCAAAGAGAAATGGAAATTTACAATCTTTCCAAAAATCCTCTGCAGGTACAATATAATAAGCTGGTTTCTTTTTTTCTTTGACAAGTAAGTGCAAGTCGGGACATGGCCCCATTTATTCACCATGTTCAGAACTAGAGGCTTTTCAGTCATTTTGCTGAGACTTGCTCTTTATTCAAGGAGAGTTACACATTTCGCTTTCAAACATCTGGGCTCGCATGGGAATTTGGAGAATGCTGAGGCTACAAGAATTGTGTGCCTGGTGCTGGTCCTTAATTCTTTCTAGTTTGCTTTTCTTTTTGCTTTGGCTCTAAGTAGATCTAAATATTTTTAATTCATTCTATGAGAGAAACCAATTTAAAACCAAATGACCATATTTCAAACTCAAATAATTCATACCCAGAATGAATATTTATCACTCTTTTACAGTGACTGCTTAATGTTTTCGTTAAGATGAACTGAAAAGCAGAGAATTTGTGTTCAATTGTAAAGAAAGAAATGAAAATTTAAAACCTGAATTTTTTTACTAGGTAAATAACTAGGATGTTAGACAAACATTCAAGGGCTCTATCTGTATCGTACTGTTGATTCTTCAATGCAAACATTTGGTTCCCTAGGCTTCCCGATGTGCAGATGATCACAAGTGATGTTTTACAACCCACGAAGATAGATAAATAAGTAACTACATTTACGGGCACTTAAAACCAACACAATCCAACACACATCACTACTCGATATATTTGATGGAAGATAAAGCTATTAACAGCTATATTTTAAATGTTTTCTATGAAAGAAAAGCATTAACAGCCTGTATATGCTTTCACACACATTCATTCCAGGATCTGGCGAGCACCTGTATAATGCCACAGAGGTGAGACAAGTAACACGTTTAGGAAAACTCGCTTCTAACAGGCCCACTTCCTAATGGAATCCAAAGGAGAACAGCATTTCGTTTGCTAATTTTGACAATTGATACATTTCTTACAAAATCCAAATAATTAGGACTCAACCCTAAGGAAGGGGGTCCTCACCTGCTGTATACGCAGAAGCCGTAGTCATGGTCTTCCTCAAGGGCGTGACCGTAGCTGCTTTTTCAGCTTCCAGCTCAGCCACTGTCTTCGGTTTTACTGGGGCACCTTGAGGAATATTTTTCGGGGTGGGAGCGGGGAAAATCACTTCTCCATCCTAACAGAAATTAGAAAAACAATGTTAAAAGTCAATCCAGCATTTCAAAAACACAGAAGATAGTGACAATGCTGGGGGGGGGGGAAACAGCTGTTCTTTTAAATATAATTTTTCTGGGCCTCCTGGGTGGCTCAGTCGGCCAAGTGTCCGACTTCAGCTCATGTCATGATCTCATGGTCCGCGGGTTTGAGCCTCACGTCGGGCTCTGTGCTGACAGCTCAGAGCCTGGAGACCTCTTCAGATTCTACGTCCTTCTCTCTGTCCCTTCCCTTGCTCGTGCTTGGTCTCTCTCAAAAATAAACAAACATTAAAGAAAATTAAATACAATTTTTCTTTTAAGATTTTTTTTTTTTTTATTTTAGAGAGAGAAAGAACACAAGCACACGTGTCAGCAGGGGAGGGGCAGAGGGAGGAAGAGAGAATCCCAAGCATGCTCTACACCCAGCAGGCAGCCCAACTCAGGGCTCAATTCCGCATCCTTGGGACCACAACCTGAGCCAAAATCAAGAGTCAGATAGATGCTCAACTTCCTGAACCTCCCAGGTGCCCCTAAAGATTTTATTTTAAGTTATCTCTACACACAACACATACATTTGTAATGAAAATGCAGGAAGGATTGGGTCTCTTACCTTCATCACTACAGTTCCTCTAATGACATGACCCATTGTACCAAAGTCAAAGTCGTCTTTCACTTCAAAATAAAAGTTATCTTTGTCAGGGCTGATGGCCTTCAGGAGCTTGGTGATGTTGTTGGAATAGAGGGTGCTGGCCTGAGTGGCCATTCGGCTGGGAAGGTCTGTGTAGCCAATGTGAGTAACTCCCTACGTGAACAAAAATATATAGTCTGAAAGGTCTAATCTGGTCTGTTCACCTTCCTGCTAGGACAATATGCAGTCATAGCCAAGGCTAAGCTGTGAAATTATGATCTTTGTAAATATGCACACATCTCACAAACAAACAGTATATTTCAAAAAGAGCTTTAAATGTGCCTATTTTTAATTTTAAAAAATTTCAGGCCTCAGTTTCTCTGAACACTTTGAGCTTTGAGGCATAAATACTCTCTTGCAAGTCACTATGGTGAGCCATGGGACATTGTCCACAGAGAGAAGCAGCTGTTTCCTATACCTTGTGAACGTAAAGTTCTCCTGGCTTCGTGGTTTCAAAGTTTCCGCCAGCCTCAGCAGCTAAATCCACAACAACTGAACCTTCCTTCATTGACTCAATCATTTCTTTACTAAATAAAACTGGGGCTTTTTTACCTAATAAAATGGAAAGAAAACAGAACAAATTACATTATACTTTTTTAAACTCTATTTTCTAATTATTACAGTAGTCTCTGGAGGCTCAAAAATGTAACATCTGAAATTTAACTCTTTCAAGAGACCCAAAAGTCTATACACAGGTGGAAATGGTCATCCTCCTCAGGAAGAAATATGGTTAGTACAAACTGCAAAGCCGATATGCGGGAGGGAGACGTGTGGCTAATAAGCCAGCCTTTCCGTTTACTTACTCAGCATGGAAATCTCAGCACCACTCATGAAGACATAACCATTTGCCTGGGTTTTTTTTTTAATGCATACTAAGCTATTAAGGAAACTATGTGCACCTGAACTGGACAATCCATAAGGATCACAAAAGTCAAGGGGAATACTCACTAGCAATTTACCAAATTAAAAAATGGAATATTTTCAAACATCTTAACAAACCTCACCAGATTTTCCAACATGTTAAATTAATCTACCTTCATTTAACACAGGATAACTTCAGGGAGTGACAGAGAAATGCCATGAAATGAAAACAATAGGAAATGCCAACCTGGGATTGGGGTTGGAAATCACTCATACACTTTTATTTCCCCCCAACACTATTTATTCTGCCTCTGATGAGTCAAGCCCTATACCTGGTGCTCAGAATATACTGGTAGATAAACAGAAAAGATCCCTGTTCTTATGGAACGCTCTAGTTATGACACAGTTCACATTTTAAATTCATTCACTAATTCTTACATAGAAGATAAAGCACCAACCTAATGTATTAGTATGTTCAAAGGGGGCCCACAATGTCAGTATATTACCGTGTTCAAGTTTCATAAAACAATAAATACCTAAGCCAAAAGACAAAGGACATAAACTTGTGAGATTGGTAGTAGGAAAGTAGAGAGTTAATAGCCTAATTATCTTTATCTTCTCCTCTTTTAGTAAGTTTTCAACTCTGTGTTTACAGAATTTAGTAAAAGTACTATCAATTTTATAAATGAAAATTAATTTCAAATGAAATTTCCATTATAATAATAATCTGTTTTTCAATCTTCTTGATTGGAACACATATGGGTTTAAAAAAAGAAAACTAGGTGCGCGAGGTGAGCGGAGCCAGAGTCGAGACCAGAAGCCGAGCTCGGGATCTGACAAGATGGCCGGGCTGCCCCGCAGGATTATCAAGGAAACCCAGCATTTGCTGGTGGAACCAGTTCCTGGCATTAAAGCAGAACCTGACAAAAGCAACACCCATTATTTTCATGTGGTCATTGCTGGCCCCCAGGATTCCCCCTTTG